GCTGATAAGTAGCATCCTGTGGGGGCCAGAGTCTGTCCCAGCTGTCAGCTAATCACAGGGCTAACGCCAACATCCAGACAAGTGACAGCATCCGGAGACCAGCTACAGAAGCACCAGTAGGACACAAAGGCTCGACTGGCCGTGATGGGTTGGCAAAGGATTTAAACCTTCAACCATGTGGCTATTAAGCATGAGAGAAAAATGTGGCTAAAATGAGCAGAAAACGTTGTATGTGAGGCAGAGTGATGTTTGTGAGGCAGCTTAAATCAGGCTAAAAACAATAGCTGCTAGCAAAGAGTTTTATAATAATTGGTATTTAAGTTGGTTATACTTACTCCTTCATGCATTAAAAGCTATATTTTGAGTGATTTATGCATGTTCGAGTATTCTCTTTTTTATATATTGACTTATTGTTCAGTTTATTAGAGCTGGAACAATATTTTTGGGGGTAAGTATTTATAATATTTATATTTTCTTTGCACTACTGGGAAATTTGTGGTTATTTTTTATCTCTATGATAAGATTTAAGACACAAAAGCAGCTCATGATTTTTATTAATATTTTTTTTTTACAATATTGCACATTTAGAATAGTTTTTGTGGTTTAAATCTGCTCTCGGTTATTGTGTCAATGTCATAAATTAGTAAGTAAGTTTCAATATTGTCATTTATTGTCAATATTTTCTCAAAAATTCTAAATGTGTTATCGTGACAAGCTTAGCAATCTTCTGGAAAATTCTTGTTTTCACCTGCCCCCTTTATACACGCACTACTTACTAGAGTGATATAAGGGTCAACAGTGTCCCACAGCTATTTATACTATATTTAACTATCCATACATGGAGCACGGCGCTTTGTTGTGATGACATTTAAAGTGATATGAAGTGGCGGGCAGAAATCACTTCCGCTGTTTTGAACTGGAAATGAGTGGGTTTTTTGGAGTAACTTTTCTGATGGAGGGTCCATCAAATGATTTTCTCCATGGAGATGTTATTGCTTCGTCTGGATTGTTTCAGAGTATGATATTAAACCTTTCTATCTTATCTAGCTCTATGACCAGACCAAGTTACAGGTCAAATCTGTGGAGGCAACCCCGCTCGGTCAGAATGTAAATTTTTCTAGGTATTTTTGAGCTATAAAACCACCTTTAATTGAATAAATTCTGTGTAACATTCCATTCAGAGCAATGACACATCCATAGAAACAAGCCGATGACAGACCCCCAACCAAAGAGTTACACAGTGCACCTTTAAGTAGTTTTTAAATGTGAAATTATCATCTAAAAATACTAGAAAAAAAAACTAAATATGCGCTCTCTTATTATTGTGACATAAACTTGGTCGTACCCCCCCCCAAAGCCGCTGTTGTTGCATAATCATTTCTCGATCCACATTTCCAGATGGATTATGTCACCCAGTCCGTTTATTTAACACACTTTGGGATTGTGACATTCAGTTGTAATGTCAGCCAAGTCCTCTTTTATTTTGTTAATGTGCAGAGGGATCCAAACTTAGCTCATGAGAGACAGAAGAATATAAGAAAACAGACAAACAGACAGAATATGTAAATGTTTTGATTCTGTTTATCTCCAAATAGAAAAGACTGTCTCAAAGCTGTCTCAAAGTGAATTTATGTGAATTTAATCAACACTGATACTGTCCTGACGTCATGTTTGTGAGATATTGTTACCACTTGTGAGTACAAACACTGCTTTCCCTAAAAAATGTGTAATCGATCCACAGTAAGACCAGCCCAACCATGCAAAATGTAGATATAAACGTCACTAAGGAGGAGATTTTATTGCAAACATCTGCTCGTAAAATCCTGCTTTGTGAACCTATGGGGGATTGTGCGTTTGGATACAGTGATGTGTGATGCATATCTGTCAGAATCCACTTTACCACAAGTTCGCATATTGAGGGCTTAAAGTTATAAAAGTATTTGAAGAAGTTAGTATTGTTTCAAAATATTTTAACTTGAGAAGACAAAATGGTATTGTCAAACTTTTATTTTGAGAAAGTATATACAAGTAGACAATAGTTTGAGGTTTTCCTACTACCACAACCACAAAACTGTTACCGCTACTACAATTACAAAAAATGATCACTCATACTACTGCTACTACTACTTATAATCACCCAAATAATACATCAAGTACTTGTAAAATGCCTACTAATATAGAGCTACTACAAGCTCCTATTAATACTAATACTATTTACTATTACTGCTATTATTACAAATACAACAACTCCTGCAACTCCTATAACTCCTACAACAACAACAACTACTACTGCTACTCCTATTAATACTAATACTATTTACTAATACTACTATTACTGCAACTACTACAACTCCTGCAACTCCTACAACTCCTACTACTACTGCTATTAATACTAATACTATTTTATTACTACTACTACTGCTATTAATACTAATACTATTTACTACTACTACTACTATTAATTCTAATACTATTTACTACTACTACTATTAATACTAATACTATTTACTACTACTACTACTACTGCTATTAATACTAATACTATTTACTACTACTACTATTAATACTAATACTATTTACTACTACTACTATTAATACTAATACTATTTACTACTACTACTATTAATACTAATACTATTTACTACTACTACTACCACTACTACTACTACTACTGCTATTAATACTAATACTATTTGCTGCTGCTGCTGCTACAAGTCCTACAAGTCCTACAACAACTACTTCTACTACTACTACTCCCACTACTATTACTGTTAATACTAATACTACTACTATTAATACTAATACTACTTACTACTACTACTATTAATACTAATACTACTTACTACTATTGCTATTACTACAACTACTACAACAACAACTACAACTACTACTAATCCTATGACTCCAACACCTACTTCTAATAATACTACTTACTACTATTACTATTACTGCAACTCCTACAACTACTAACAACAACTCCTCCTCCTCCTACTACTACTGCTACTACGTTGTGCTGTATTACTATATTAATCCAATCTGTTCATCTGCTACAATTACCACTTTTTTTTTTTTTTACTGTTAATTCTAATACTTCTACAAATACAATATTTGTAAGTACTGCACTGCAAGTACAGCTCATTGCACTGGCTACTACTAATATGATTATGACTAATATTATTATTGCTGACAGGATCCATTTAAATTCACATATTTTCCACTTAGTCAATAAATTGCTATGTATACTTTTTCTACCACTGCAGAAATTGTGAAAAAATGATAGGAAATCTTTAAATTTGACTTAATTTTACATGAAATATTGAGTAAAAATATGTGTGTATATATATATATATATATATATTTTTAAAAGTATATATAACCTGTTGTATATAGTCTTCTAAACAATATATGTATTAAAAGGGAAAAAAGGTAGAATATACACCTTTCATTAAAAAAAGAAACAGATCAAATACATTAGTCAAAGTGTGAGTCCTTGCTCGCCTCGTCTGTTACAATTTTAAGCATGGATCATCTGTCCTTCCCCACATCAAATGCACACTTTATTCCCTGTGTCCCACACCGGTCTATTCTTATAATTCAATGGAAAGGCAACGTGTCCAAAGCTCGCGCGCTTATTACAGCATGCCTTTAATTCCTGCTTTTGTTTATGCGTAGCAACCACAAGAGGGCAGCTGCGGTCTTTTCTTAGCAGCGCGCGTCTCGTCCCATTTGTTTACATGGCTCAGTGGTGTCAGGACCAAGGGGAATCACCGTGCCCTCCCGTCAACACCTCTGTCTGACGGATATCCACATCTCCCCAAAAAGCCTCTTATAACAACCCAAGCTTAACCGCCATTGTCTTTTTACGCACGTTACGCACGTCCGGTAATTCATTATTTATCAGATCGTCCTTGACAGCTTTGAAATTTTGGGGGGGAGCTGACTTCGTGCCAAAAAGACCTGAGCTGTTAATTTTTGTGGATGAGTCATTGGGATTATAACACGGGTTTTTTTTTTTTTTTTTTTACACAGAAAGTCCAACAGACGCGCGCTAGATTAGGCTATGGGGGGATGTTTGAGGTGCTACGCGCGAAGGAAGTGTCTGGAGAGACGGAGGAGAGAGGGAGAAATAGAGGAGAGAGGGGCAGACTGGAAATTTGCATGTCTGTCTCGTGCAATCCGTCCTTTTTTACGGTTGCTCACAGTTGGATACAAGCACACGGTTCACGGTCAAGGGTGCGAATTTAGAATAGCGCCAGGGGAATTCCTTCACAAAAACTGAGCCAATTTTGAATGTATAACGTAAAATATTGTATAAGATTCTTGGAGAATCAGCCAACCAGACAAAAACATAATAAAAATAGTAACCTAAAATGGCTCTATTGCAGTTTCCCATAGCTCTATATTTAACCACTTTTATTTTGGGCATGTGTGGCTGGCATGGATTGTTTGCGTAATCATTTGTTAAAAAAAAAAAAAAAAAAAAAAAAAAAAGCAGCCAAGGTGGAATTGAGCATAGATTAAAAACAAAACATATCGTCGTAGTTACTGCACTTGACTCTTAACAACTCCCCTACACCCCAAACGTATCTCACGCTTCATTTAACAACCAAATTGCCCAAGTTCCCCTCTCCACCTCCACCTCCACCTCCAGCCGCCGCTCGTCTGTACCTAAGCGCGCGCGTGTGTACTCGGCAGCCCCGGGGCGACTCGCGGAGGTACGAGGGTGATGATGATGATGACACGCCGCTGACTCTCTCGCTCCCTCTCCGGGTCCATTATTCATGTGAGACGAAGAGCTCCGGTGCGCCAGCCAGACTGCACTTCTCCCGCCGCGCGCTCTGTCCGCCGGGTCGCAGCCTGACGCACGCAACACACGGCCAGGACGATCCTCCGCTGTCACACGAGGAGAGGAGGGAGGGAAGGAAGGAGGAGAGAAAGAGAGAGAAACGGGAGAGAGAGAGAGGAAGAGGAAGAAACTTTGCCTGGTTGGGTTTCAGACGCGCGCTATGGGTTCACCTTAGCTCTACCCAGATTGGAGGAGGAGGGATTTCGTTTTAAGGAGCGTTACACACACGGAAACACCGGATTAAACTTTTATGCCTGGAGCTATACGACTCGGAGTGCGCCGTGACTGAGAGAAAGTTCGCTGGAAGTGCAATGATGGGCACGCTGCGCGACCTGCAGTACGCGCTCCAGCAGAAGATCGAAGAGCTGCGACAGAGGGACACGCTCATAGACGAACTGGAGGCAGAGCTGGATCAAAAGGACGAGCTCATCCAGAGACTGCAGAACGAGCTGGACAAGTACCGCTCCGTCATCAAGCCCGCCACGCAGCAGGTCCACAAGCACAACCAGCTCCGCGAGCACCAGCGCTCCAAGAGACAGGCCATCTCCGCCGAGCCCACCGCCAACATCCTGAGCCATGACAAGCTGCCCTTCTACGACAAGAGTGCAGAGTAGGTACCCCCCTCCCCTGATAAAGCAGCTGGTGTGGGAGAGGAGCAGAGAGGGTAGTGGTTTGTCTGTGGTAGCGGAGATAGTGGTCCCTGTGCGAGTCTGTTTGATGCGTAATAGTCTCTCCAGTGCAGCAGCAGGCGCAGCACCTGTGGCACAGACGGATCAGGTTTGCCAAAGTCATTTGAGGTACCCGGTCTGCTCTCTGCGCATATCGGTCAAAGAGGAGAAAGGGAGGAGACTCTTGATGTGTAGTCTAATATAAAAATACAATACATGACTTAAAGTAAAACAAAAAGTTGCAGATTGTAGTTTATACCTGAAATACATGGCGTTGCTATAGTAACAGAGGTCTCAGGTGTGAATTAAGAGAACAGTGGAATTGCAGAACTTTGCATCCATGTCATTCTGTAAAGCAGTCTCTATATTTGAGTTTCAGAATGATGAAAATTTAGCACCGTTAACACAATATATCTCTTAAACTAATCACCAGTGCTCACTACTTTTCAGGATTTTTTGAGTGCGGTACTATTTCACGCACTGGACATTTGGGCACATGCATAGTCCTCAAAACGGCACCATATAAGAGGAAGCTGAAACTCATGAATAGATTCTCACAATCACAAACTTTTACCACATGGAAAATGAAATGTGTGAGTGCGCTACGGTTTGCAACTACAAAAGTATTACAATGATGATTTTCCAAAATACTTTCAAATTTTGGATGCCCTGATTTTCAAGTTGGCACAGTCTGAAGTTAATCCTTGTGTTGTGGAGGAGGATACGACTCTCATGACAGATCAAAGCGTGCAGCTCATAATCATTATTCTATAAGTGCAAGACATTTTACTCCGGATTGCAATTTAAATTCAAAGGTGTATCAGCGAAATTAAGGGGCCTATATTACACAAAATTTACTCTTGTGAGATTCAAGCCATGCTATAATGTTGTTACCTGAGCAAAAACAGACCTGGAGTTGTGTTTGGTTTAAGTTACACATGTTTGAGTAACTATTATTAGTCTGTGTACATGAGTCTGTCTTCATTTCCAAAATTCAAAATGCTCTGGTCGATTTTATGATGTCAAGAAGCGGTAGTTTTCAGGGTAACAGCAACCTTTAGTTCAGTAGAGATTGGCAGCTCCAGTGCTAAAATGATTTTCAATTTTTGTTTAATAAAAGTAATTGACCCCTGAACTGAAGATATGTTCCCGCATTGAAGCAATAATCACAAACTTTCACTTGAGCTAACATTTGTAATTGCAGTAACAGTTATCTACAACTCTCTGTCATCCATTTTCAATTGTACTGATGGATTATTTATTGAATGAATAGTCAATACTGCGTAATGGTTTGGGAAGTCTAGACTCTAATGAGGGGAAGAAGGTAGAAGCTGAGGAGGCTGACTGTTTTGCTACTGCGGGGTAGAATTGTGGCACATATTTGACGGCAAGAAAAAGGAGGGGGTGACTGGTTGAAAGGTGCCGATACTGAAAAACTGGGTATTGATTTCCAAATATTGGTTCAGTTGGTATCCTAGTTGGACTTATAAATTGATGTAATAAGACAAATTAGTGGTCACAGTCAGCCCAGAAACTGTCAATATGTTTAAACTTTTATATTATATTGTTCTGTAGTTACTTCAGAGATAAATGACAGCTATAAAACACAATTTGATCAGATTTTGTCTTATTTTATTTTTGTTTTAAGTAAATAAATGCTGTTCTCAGTTTCTGCACCGGTATCCGTTGATATTGAGGATCAGCACATACTTAAAGCTATAGTATCGGAACCGGTATCGAAATTGAAACTGAAAACTAAATCGTTGCATCTGCAGTGTCTCTTCCCTCAGTAATCACAGTTAATGTTCTACTCTGTGATACTGGTAGTTCAGTTTTAAGTTTTTCAAAGCGCAGCCCAAGTCGAGGTAACACAAGACAGAGCTCTACTGTCTGCTGTTTATCTGGCTGTCCGTCCTTACCCAAACACTGCTGTCCGGAGTTTGACAGCCATTTTAAAGTGGGGCTAAAATAGTGCACGGTTGTGAAGAAGTCCAGCTGTGTGACACTGAGCTCAAGAATATACTTCCTCCTCCGAATGTACTCGAATGTAGTATATGCAGTCAAAGTATTAGTACTGCAAGTGGGGTACAGAAAGGTTCTTCAGGGTAAACAATTTAGACCAAAATGTAGTTAAAAGGTGCATTGTATAACTTTTCTGGTGGAGGGTCCATCAAATGCTTTTCTCCATGGTGATGTTATTGCTTTGTTTAGAATGTTTGACAGTCTGGGATTAAACCTTTCTATCTTCATAGAGATCAAACCAGACCAAGTTGCAGGTCAGAATGTCTGCTTTTCTGGGTATTTTTGAGTTATAAAACCACCTGTAATCTGTTTAATGTCATATTACGGGACATTCTAAGCAAAGCAATGACATATCCATAGAAAAAAAGTGATGAAAAGTTACACAGTGCACCTTAAAGTTGATAGTGTGATGCTTGTCAAATTTGATATTGTTGTTGTGTCCTCGCTGGCCTCTTATTCCTGTTAATTAAAGCAGACCTATTATGCAAAATTGACTTTTAATTGACAGAGCTTTTAACCATGTTATAGCTGATTTCTTCTCATTTACCCTCTCAAAGTTGTATTTGGAGTTATTCGTGCATGTTTGAGCAATCTTTTATCGCTTATTTTCAAGACGCCCGTTTTCACCACCACTGGCGTACTCCCACTGCTCTGTACTTTGTTCTCCAATTTTATTTTCTTAAGCTGTGATACACATGGATTTGGCAGCATTGCGTATTCATTATGGTACAAATGAAAATGTGCAGGTATCCATTGGAGGTGCTGACAACACCTCTTTATTATGATGACATTCATGCTGACGTCAGCTTCCATTGGGCCGGCAAACTTGTTTCTGTTATTAAGTCATTTTAGATCAATATTGTGAAAATTAAAATGGCAAAAATTATAACAATGATCCAACTATATAGCAGACACAATATGTCTTCTTAAATATGAAGTAAGATTAATATTTAGACAACAAAGATGTGGCTGATTGCGACAGGCGTTCCAATCAGTAAAATCCAAGCACTCCAGAAAAGTAAAAGTTGCACAAGGAAAAGTATAGTTAAAAGGTCTGTAGTCCCAAAGTCAAAGTCCCATACACAGTCTTCGTCAGGACATGACTTTAGCTAACTCTATATGGTCAAAACCTGTAGACTTTGGCCATTTAAATAAAGGCCTTTTAATTATAAACTATAGAATAGGACTACACAATATGTCACACTTGAAGTATGTGCAATCACAGCATTACTTTTTAGACCTACAAAAAACTTCTGACTCTTGTATTAGTACAAAGCTCATATTTCTTCTTTCTTCTGTTGAAAAATCAATATTAGATTTCATAATCTTGCAGCCCTAGCCAAGACATTCAAATCAAACTACATTATCAAGTATTATCCATGCGTACTAACTCAAATAGCCTATATTTTGACCTTGTAAGTTCTGTTTTCATTTATTATGCAGTATACAGAAGAACACCGTGGGCTCTTGAAGTTTCTCAGCATTGGCATATTCTATCTTATGTAAAAGGAGACAGTGGTATCGTGCCATCCATATTAAGAGCTGTGCCTCGGATACAAATGGCATAAAATGTGGGTCACTAGAACAGTTTGCTCTAGATTTATGCTGGTGCTTTCAAATCCGAAAGTGGGTCATTTAACGTAAGGTTCAACTGGATGTAGATGGGGAGTTTAGGAGGGATCATCCTATGTGTCGTAGTTATGAGCTCTAATAGAACAATATGATAAATGAGTTAATAGGAGTAATATTTCACACTACTCAAAAGCGCTTAGACACATAGATACTTAAAGTTTAATGGTTTTGAAAGGTTTTGCCCCTACCCTTCTGTTCGCCTAATCAATCAGCAGGAAATGCCTTTGGTCGACCAAGAATTACAGCCCTGATAATATGTAAAAATACCATCCATCTACTTTTCTTCTGCTTGTCCGGGGCTGGGTTGCAGCAAGAGACATAGTCCCTCCAGCATGTCCTGAGTCTTCCCTAGGGCCTCCTTCTGGTGGGACACGCTGGAGTCCCTCCCCAGAGAGGCGTGGCCCCTATTTGAACCGGCGCCTGAACGTGGTGGAGTGGTTTGAACACCAGAATGATCCTGGGAGCCATCGAGTCAGGGTTGGTAGGGTCTCCCATGGCAAACAGGTCCTGGGTGACGAGTCAGACTAAGCCCTTTTATGCCCTTTATGACAAGTTTAAGTTTCTTTTTAAGTTTAAGTTTGGCTGGGCACAGGCCAAAGGAGCAATGTACGGCCGTCCTTCCATGGACCCTCCACCTGCAGGAGGATCCATGAGGGGCCAGTGCAGGGGGGTCTGGGCAGTCGAAGTCACTGGCCTCGACGACCATATCTCTAGACATTAGAAGCTGGCTCTGGGGACATGGAAAGTCTTTTAAAATGTTTATAGTAATTACATTTTCACAGCCAAGGTCACTATTCTGTTTGTGTTCCATCCTCCACATCTCCCATGAACTTAGCTAAGGTCACAAGGCACAACACAATCGAGAGTTGTGTATCTTCCGGAAAGAGGCACGCGTAAACAAACATGGCGGCTGCTCAGATGTGTCAGATATGAATGTCATTATGGTGTCGACAAGCAGCCAAACACAGCTCCTGGGATCGCATCAGAGTAACCGCCCACTAGATTTGCTTGGGAAAAGAAAAAGCTATTAATCTTTGTTTCACCTGTCAGTTTCACTGTGCGCCACAGAAGAACAAAGGAAGCATGCACACTTAAGCTGATCTGTGGTGCTGTTTGGAGAAAGTTTTACTGTATTCTCCTTCTTGTTTAGGCACAGTTCTTGTTAAGTCCTGACTTAGACTTGGTTTAGTTCTGGTTCAGACCTGCTTTAGGCCCTGAAACCCTCCAGGAAGACATTTTTTTGATCTAGTCCAGCCCTGATACCTGGTTTCAGTCATACTAATAAATC